TTTCATGGTTGGTGAGCGGGTATTGCTCCGAGTGTCGCCTATGAAGGGCGTGATGAGATTTGGGAAGAAGGGCAAGCTTAGCCCTAGGTTCATTGGTCCGTTTGAGATTCTTGATCGAGTGGGAGAGGTGGCTTATAGACTTGCATTGCCACCTAGCTTATCAGCCGTGCATCCAGTTTTTCATGTATCCATGCTTTGGAGGTATCACGGCGATCCAGCTCACGTGTTAGATTTCAGCACTGTCTAGTTGGACAAGGACTTGTCTTATGAGGAGGAGCCGGTAGCTATTTTGGACCGGCAGGTTCGTCAGTTGAGATCCAAGAGTTTTCCTTCCGTTAGTGTTCAGTGGAGAGGTCAGCCTCCTGGGCATCGACCTGGGAGTCCGAGTCTGATATGCGGAGTCGTTATCCTCATCTTTTCCCCGACTCAGGTACTTCTTTCTTTTGTCCGTTCGAGGACGAACAGTTGTTTTAGAGGTGGAGAATGTGACGACCCAAAGGGTCATCACTTGTTTCTTTACTCATTCTGTGCTTCCGAGGCCTTGAAAACCTCATTTGGGGTAGCCTCGATTTGCGTGTGCAGTCCGAGCGCGTAGCCGGAAAGCTTAAATATGAATTCTGTGAGAAAAATGCTAAATTTTGATATTAAATTGATTAAATTTGACTTCGGTCAACATTTTGGGTAAACGGACCCAGACCCGTGATTTGAAGGTCCCAGAGGGTCCGTAGAAAAATATGGGACTCGGGCGTATGCTCGGAATAGAATTCCGAGGTTCCAAGCCCGAGAAATGAATTTTTGTTTGAAATTGTTTTTCTGAAATTTATTAAGAAAATTGAAATGAAAATTTGATAGAACGTGTTGCTATCGGGCCCGTATTTTGGTTCCGGCGCCCGGTACAAGTCTTATATATGGTTTAAGCGCTTTCTGTAAAGTTTGGTTGAAATTGGATGTCGTTTGATGTGTTTCGGACTTAAAACTCTAAATTTGAAAGTTTATGAAGTTTGAGGAAAAACTTGTGATTTTGAGGTTTGGTTCGTTGTTTTTGATGTTATTTTGGCGATTTGATTGCCCGGTTAAGTTCGTAGGATGTTGTTGAGTTAGTGTATGTGTTTGGTTAGGAACCCCGAGGGCTCGGGAGTGTTTCGGAGGTGTTTCGGGATGGTTTTTGACTTAGAAAGATTGCAGGTTTTTGCTTCAGCTGTACAGGTCCCTTTTTGTTCTTCGCGTTCGCAACGCATCCTTCGCGTTCGCGATGGCTATGAGTTCTCCCTTCATCGCGTTTGCCTACTTGCCCCGCGTTCGCATTGAGTCATTTGACTCTGAGGACTCAGCCCTCTTTGACTCTTCGCGTTCGCATCTACCTACTCGTGAACGCGTAGTGTTGCAGATCCCCTTCCTCGCGTTCGCGTTAGGGTCCACGCGTTCGCGTAGACCAAGTTCTGGACCCCCAACCTTTCCTCTTCGCATTCGCAGCCTTCCCATCGCGAACGCGATGCCCTGCCCAGATTACCCTTCGCGAACGCAACCATCCTTCCGCGAACGCGAAGGGCAATTTTGCCCAGTTATATTTTAATTTCCAGAACAGTGTAGTTACGGGATTTTCATAAAAACACACGAGCTCCTTCTTCTCCAAGGTCTTTAGGCGTCCATTGAAGCTCCCATTCACCAAAACTTCTTGGGTTAGTAAATCTTAACTCGTTTTCTTCATTTTCCATCAATATTTGTTGAATTCTTAAGCCTAAAACATGTAATTTAGGGTAGAAATTGGGGAAAATGGGTAGAGTTAGGGCTTTTTACTTTTTCTTGATTTAGACCTCGTTTTGGGGTCGAATTTGAGAACAAATTATATATTCGGGCTCGTGGGTGAATGGGGGATTTGATTTTGGTCCGAACCTCGTGTTTTGAACAAGCGGGCCCGGGGGAGGGGGGGACGATTTTGGGATTTTTGGAAAGAAAGCTTGAAAATCTATAATTAGACATTGGGTTTGATTTGTTTAGCATCTATTGATATTATTAAGTCATTGTTGTATAGATTCGATTGAGTTGGAGCCGAATTCGAGAGGAAAAGCGGCTGTTACGGATTGATTTGGCCGTGGAAGTTGAGGTAAGTGTTTGGTTTAACCCTAGCTTAAGGGAATAGGAGTTGAGTCTTGTTTGATACTTGCTAATTGTCGAGTACGATGTATAGGCATGGTGACGAGTATCTATACATTGGTGTCTAGCATGACCGTGAGTCCTTATTTTGCAAATAGTTGGGATTATTGTTATATGTTCCATGCTTAATTGATGACTTCTATATGTTGTAAAGATCCTGTGAAAGGAAATTGTGATCTTTAAACTTCGTGGAGCGTTGGCTCGAGTTAAAAATGCAAATTGTGAAGGTATATGAGATAAGTAAATCCTTGGAGCATTGGCTCAAGTGGTAATGTGAACTATGAAATAAAAGTGAAAGAAAGAGAAAGAGTATTTAAATTGTTCCCTTGCCGGGATATTGTTGCTTATTGATTATTTTCCCTTGCCGGGACGTTGAGATTATTGATGTTGTACCCTTGCCGGGATTTAATTATTTTATTGTGTTCCCTTGCCGGGATTTCTATTATTATTTTATTTATTCCCTTGCCCCTTGTTTGTGATTGTTGTTTGGGTGAGGAAGAGTGTAAAACACGAAGGGTGATGCCGTGCATTGTTTGTTATTGTGAGGAAAGAGTGTAAAGCACGAAGGGTGATGCCGTGCATTGTTGCTATTGTGAGGAAACAGTGTAAAGCACGAAGGGTGACGCCGTGCCGCACGATGTACCATTCCGTGCCAATTCTATTGATTATATGTGAGGGAAGAGAGTAAAAGCATGAAGGGTGATGTCGTGCACATTTTAATATTCTAATTGCTTGGTGAGGACGAGAGTAAAAGCACGAAGGGTGATGCCGTGCACTTGTCTTTGATTTTTTTTCCTGATTTGTGCTGAATGAGTTATGTTGTCCTCTACTTCTATTTATTGATTTTCTTGTTGTTATCAGTTCAAGTGCATTAGTTGTCTTATTCCACTATTACTGAGTTTCCTTATGTTGGCATTTTCCTTGATTGTGTTACTGTTATTATCGGCTCGAGGTATCCTTGCGCAACATTATTCTTTGAAATTAGGCTATAATTGCTACATGTTTATGTGATTTAGTTGCTACTTGACATTTAGCATACTAAATATTAAATTGCCTATTTGCTCCTTAAAGCCCGTAATTAATTGCCATTTGTCATTACTTATTTTCTTCAGTGAGTCATAATTATTGTGTACTTGTTGTCTTGTGAATTCGTATAAATTGTTGCGTTTGTTGGAGTAAATTGCATTTGGAAAAACTATTGATTTAATAAAATGGGAGCGGGTGGTACGGCTACCACGAGAATTAATAAAATGGGAGCAGGTGGTATGCCTACCACGAGATTTAATGAAATGAGAGCGGGTGGTACGCCTACCACAGAAATATTGAGAAATAGGATCGGGTTGCACGCTTGCAACGAGATATGTTTTGACAGTGAAATCTGCTTTTATTTCCCTTATCCGTGTTAGAGTTAAATTATTGATGTTCTTTATTATTTTCTTGAAATTCTGTATTATCTGCTACCCCCGAAGCATGTTCCCCTCCCCTTTAAAAATGTTTGTTCTTGTTATTTTCCCGTTGTAGATACACATATATATCTGTACAGGTTGATGTGGTAGTCCTGTCTAGCCTCGTCACTACTTCGCCGGGGTTAGGCTAGGCAATTACCAGCACATGGGGTCGGTTGTGCTGATACTACACTCTGTGCTCTTTTGCATAGATCCAGGCACAGCAGCAGCAGTGGTAGATCGGGAGCCAGTCTCCGGTCCTCCGAGACGCCGAGGTAGCCTTGCAGGCGTCCGCAGGCCCGGTGTCTCCTCTATCTTTATTTATGATCTGTTATCTCTTGTATTCGAGACAGACAGTGTTACTCTCTTTCAAACGGTTGTATGTAGTAAATCTTAGTAGTCCGTGAGTATTGTGACACCAGTCTTGGGTAGAGGCCTTTGTTGAAATTTTCCGCATTTCTATTCAGTTTTCTATAATATTGAGACTTCCGCTTATTATTTAATTTCGTTGCTATTGTATTATTGTCGATAATTGTTAAAAAGGAACTATGTTATTAATGAAAAAGTAATTAAATTTGGCTTGCCTAGCTCTCATTAGTAGGCGCCATCACGACTCCCGAGGGTGGAAAATCCGGGTCGTGACAGGTTGTTTCTGGATGAATGAATGCTAATTTTTTTCCTTTAAAGATTTTGTATTTTGCATGGTTTAGATTGTCATAGATTAGCTCTCAGTTGTGTTTGTCATGAAGTCTAATGCTATTTCAACTACGTAATTTTTTTGTTTATTACTTTTTATTCATTTAATTTGGAGGAATACTATATGCTAATTTTTGTTAAAAAATATTTTTCTTTCTTTTGGATCTTTCGAGTTAGCTAGATCAGCTGAGATCATTTTGTATGCATGTGCTGTTTAGTGACAATATTTTGTCAGTTTCATTTTAGAAAGTAAGCGTAAACCAATAAATAGCAGAACTTCCTAAAGTTTTAAAAATTTACCCTCTTTTAAATGTATGTTTTAATGTCTTCTTACATGTGCTTGTTTTTCTTAGTTGAAAATTGATTTTGCATTAACTAACATTTGCAAATCAACTGAAGGTAATAAAGTATCTTTGTTTTACCTTTTTGAAATAAAAATAATTTATAATGTGCTAAAGCTGCTCTTAATCCACCCTGGTTCTTGTGCAGCTTCTCTACTCATGGTCATTGTAGTTATAGAATAATCTCGATCCTAATTAAAGTTGACAAGTGAAGAAGCATCTTAAAGGAGTAAGTTACTTATTTGAGTAAGTTTTGGATTTAAATATATTTTATTTACTGAGATACCAGGAAAGCGTTTATTGAAGTTCAACGAAGAAACTCACGAAATAATTCAAAGAATATCATGTCGTTCTTGCAAGACATATCGGGGGTTCAACTATAATGGTAAGCTAAAATAAACAATAGTCATCTTATACAAAGTAGCAATTTAATTGTAATGTTCGGACAAGAAAAGGAAAGTGACAATACAAACAAGGAAATAGGGTATAGCTGAAAAGGAAAGTGACGATACAAACAAGGATATAGGGTATAGCTGAAGTGGGAATTGGGTTCTCTTACTGGGCTTCACGTATTGTGCTTTCAGAAGGAAGAGTATTGGACCTTGGGGTCTTTATTCAATTAGTCCAATTAGTTGGGTCAGTTAGTTAAATAACACATTAGTAGAGAAGTGGGTATCTTTTGACAATAACAGTATCCTAACTACTTTCTCTCTCTACTTCTTTTCCTTTCTTCTTCTTCTTCTTCTTCTTCTTCTTCTTCTTCTTCTTCTTCTTCTTCTCTCTAAACTCCATTTCTACTCCATCTGAGTTCATTCATGTCAGTTGAAGTGCAGATTGTAATCATTGAATTGTTGATCAATAAAGCTTAGTTCATTTTCGAATTTCATTTCTCAATTAAGTACATTACAAATTGGTATCAGAGCATTTCCTGGCTACAATGACAGTTCCAGAAACTCGTTTGAAGTCTAATGAAGATTACGTGAAGAAATTAGATAATCAGTTACAAAATTACATGGCAGAGACGAATAAAAAATTGGAATCGCATGATTCTAATATCGATGATGTTGGAAGAAAGCTGGATGTGATGATGGATAAGCTGAGCAAGGATGGCATCTTGGGAAGTGCTCCAGTCGAAGTCAATCACATTGAAGGTTCCAGTAGTCGACCCAGGTTTGCGGAGTAGAATGAGTATTCTATTGGTAGAAGGCAAGGAAATAACCATGTACATAGGTTTGAAATTACTTATTTTGAAGAAGGTGATTCCAGATCTTGGCTCCGCAAGTGTGAAAGATACTTTCACTTTAATCAGATAACTGATCCTCAAGAGAAGTTGGAGGCCGCTGTCCTTCATCTCAATGGGAGAGCTGAATCCTGGTACTTCTCTTATCATCTGAGCAGAGGTAGTGTGAGATGGTCTGAGTTTGTAGAAGAAATCAGTAAGAGATTTAAGGAGTCTGATAATAGCAATCTTAATCTCTTGGGAGAGTTCAAAAGAATTGAGCAGCAAGGATCAGTAAATGATTACCTGGCAAGATTTGAAGATTTGAAGGCTTGGGTCTTGATTAAACACCCCACTATCCCTGAAGAATTCTTCCTTAGATTCTTTATTGAGGGACTCAAGGATGAAATCAGGCACACAGTCAAGATGCTTGATCTTTTTTCCTTGAGCCAAGCAGTGGAGAAAGCTAGGCATAAAGAAAAGCTGTTAGAAGCAGTAGCTAAGAAGGGTAAAATAAACATTACTAGACAGTCAGTACAGTACAACAATACTAATAGTCAATCAGGAGTGAGAACATCTGGGTTCCAACAGAAGGAAGGGGGGTCTACCTCCTACAATGTAGGCAACAAATTGTTTGAGGCAAGAAGAACAAGAGGTGAATGTTATAAGTGTGGGGAGAAGTATTTCCCTGGTCATCAATGTAAGAATAAGCAGCTAAATGTATTGTCTGGGTCTACTGAACAAGAGGGGGTAGAAATGAATGCTGATGAAGAAGGGATAGTGGATGAGCAAAGTCAGGAGACAATAATCGATGAGGCCATAAGTCTCAATGCCTTATCTGGGACAGTCACATCTACTACTATCAAATTGAAAGGAGTGTATGGTAAGCAAGTCATGGTGATACTGGCAGATAGTAGTAGCACCCATAGTTTTGTAGCGAGTGAAACTGCAAAGCAATTGGGGTGTGTGATTCAAGTAGATGCTCCAATGAGAGTTACAGCTGCCAATGGGAGTAACTTGATGAGTTATCACTCTTGCCCTCAGTTCAAATGGAAAATGTAAGGCAATGAATTTGAGCACAAGCTGAGAATGTTAGACATTGGGGGATGTGATATGGTTTTAGGAGTGGATTGGATGAGAAAGCACAATCCTATATTGTTTGATTTTATTGGATATAGATTACAGGTCAGTGTGAAGGGAAAGAGAGTAGAACTGAAGGGTTTTTCTGAAGAGGGTAGCTTATAGAGTATGTCAGCTGCATGGGTGAAGCAGCTACTCAAGAAGGGCCAACTGTTATGGGCTCATCTTTTCACAATTACTGCTCAGTCTACTAATGAAGGAAGAGGCATACCTGAACAAATTAGAAGGCTGCTGACTAAATTTCCAGGAGTTTTTGCTGAGTCAAAGTCTCTGCCACCACAGAGGAGTCATGATCACTTCATCCCTCTCAAATCAGATGCAACTCTAGTCAGCATTAGACCCTATAGGTATAACCATTTTCAAAAGAATGAGATAGAAAAACAAGTGACTGACATGCTTAATAGTGGTACCGTTCAGCCTAGTCATTCTCCTTTCTCCTCAGTTATTGGTTAAAAAAAAGGATGGTAGTTGGAGGTTTTGTATAGATTACAGAGAATTAAACAAAATGACTGTGAAAGACAAATTTCCTATACCTCTAGTAGATGATCTCATGGATGAATTAAATGGTTCATGTATTTATTCAAAGATTGATTTGAGGGCTGGTTATCACCAGATTAGAATGAAGGAATCTGACATATACAAGACTGCATTTAGGACTCAGTTGGGACATTATGAGTTCGGTTATGCCATTTGGGTTTACTAATTCACCTACTACCTTTCAAAGTTTAATGAATCATGTATTCAAGCCTTTCCTTAGGAAGTTTGTGCTGGTATTTTTTGATGATATATTAGTGTACAGTCCTTTAGTGGAGAGTCATGTTATGCATCTTAGGCAGATATTAGAGGTGTTACAGAAAGAGCAACTTTATGCTAAGTTGTCTAAATGTGCTTTTGGTCAAAGTCAAGTGGAGTATTTGGGGCATATTATCTCAAGCCAAGGGGTAGCTACTGACCCTACTAAGATTGAGGCCATGATCAATTGGCCTGTTCCCAGATCTGTTAAGGATCTTAGAGGGTTTTTGGGTCTCACTGGTTACTACAGGAGATTTGTCAAGTCTTATGGAATTATCAGCCTACCCCTCACCAATTTACTGAAGAAGAACTCATTTTAGTGGTTTGAGGAAGCTGAAACAACCTTCAATCAGCTAAAAGCAGCCATGTCTTCAGCTCCTGTTTTAGCCTTGGCTGACTTTACTAAGCCATTTATTGTAGAAACTGATGCTTGATCTACAGGGATGGGGGCTGTTTTAATGCAAAATGGTCGACCAATAGCTTACTTAAGCAAGACTTTTTCAGTACAGAACAGGGGACTATCAACTTATGAGAAAGAATATATGGCAGTTTTAACTGCAGTGGAGAAATGGAGACACTATTTACAGGGAGGTCATTTTATTTTAAGGACATATCATCAAAGCCTTAAGTACTTGTTAGAACAAAAGATTACCACAACTTTAGAACAAAAGGGATTGACTAAGCTTCTAGGCCTGACTATGAGGTACAGTACAAGAAAGGCACTAAAAACAGGGTAGCTGATGCCTTGTCAAGAAGACAAGATCAGGAGTCCACCTTATTGGCAATCTCTATTGTTCAACCTACTTGGTTACAAGAGATTAGCCTCAGTTATGAAGAGGATCCTATTGCTTTAGCATTGTTGGGTGAACTAGCTGCCTCTTCAGGCAGTAAATTCAGATTATTCATTACAACAAGGGGTCATCAAGTATAAACACAAAATCTATGTGGGAAGAGGAACCAATCTAAGGAGTAAGATTTTAGAAGCAATGCATCAATCACCTCTTGGTGGTCATTCTGGGCAACAAGGTACTTATAGGAGGGTGCAGCTGATTTTCTATTGGCCTAACATGAAATCAAAGATCTTTAAATGGGTGAGTGAATGTGATATTTGTCAGAGGATCAAGTCTGAAAATGTGCACCCCCTAGGGCTATTACAACCCCTTCCTATTCCAGAACAGGTGTGGCAGGATATATCTATGGATTTTGTAGAGGGCTTACCTTTCTCTACAGGGAAGAATGTTGTGCTAGTTGTGGTGGATAGGCTGTCCAAGTATGGACATTTCTTAGCCTTAAAACATCCATTTTCAGCACAAGAAGTGGCAGAACTATTCCTGAAGGAGGTGTATAGGTTACATGGACTTCCCAGATCTATTGTTTCAGACAGAGGATCTGTTTTTACTAGTCATTTTTGGCAGCATTTATTCAAAATAATGGAAACTAAGCTTAATATGAGTTCAGCCTATCACCCTCAGTCGGATGGGCAAACTGAAAGACTCAATCGGTGTTTAGAGACCTACTTACGAGCTATGGTGTTTGAGAATCCTAAACACTGGGCTAGATGGCTACCACTGGCAGAGTGGTGGTATAACACTAATTTTCATAACTCTCTTAAAGTCACTCCCTTTGAAGCCCTTTATGGTCACCCCCCAACTCAACTACCATTGGGAGCTTTACCACATACACATCAAGGCCCGACTGGGTTGAATCTAACCAAACTACAACATATGCTATAAGCACTACGTGACAACCTTGTGCAAGCACAGTCACGGATGAAATTTTATGCAGATCGACTCTGTTCTGAACGAGTCTTGGAGGTAGGGGACCAGGTGTACCTCAAACTACAGCCCTATCGACAGTCATCTATTGAAGTGAGAAGAAATGTCAAGCTTTGTGCTCGATTATTTGGTCCTTACAAAGTTTTACAGAAGATTGGTGAAGTGGCGTACCATTTAGAGCTACCACCAGAATCATGCCTCCACCCAGTCTTTCATGTGTCCCAGCTCAAACGGCGTATTGGACCATCAATATGCCCTCAGCAGCATCCACCAACTTGTGACAGTGAAGGTCATATTTTGATTCAGCTAGTTGCCATTTTACAGAGGCGTGTGGTTAAGGAGAGTCAAATTTTGGTTCAGTGGGCAAATTTGCGCAAAGAAGATGCGACTTGGGAGGACTGGGGCTACATCAAAAGCCACTTTCCGGCGTTTATCGCTCAACAACGACCTTTAGGGCAAGGTCTCTTTCAAAGGGGAAGGTATTGTAATGTTCAGACAAGAAAAGGAAAGTGACGATACAAATAAGGAAATAGGGTATAGCTGAAGTGGGAATTGGGTTGTCTTACTGGGCTTCACGTATTGGGCTTTCAGAAGGAAGAGTATTGGGCCTTGGGGTCTTTATTCAATTAGTCCAATTAGTTGGGTCAGTTAGTTAAATAACACATTAGTAGAGAAGTGGGTATCTTTTGGCAATAACAGAATCCTATCTACTTTCTCTCTCTACTTCTTTTCCTTTCTTCTTCTTCTTTTTCTTCTTCTTCTCTCTAAACTCCATTTCTACTCCATCTGAGTTCATTCATGTCAGTTGAAGTGCAGATTGTAATCATTGAATTGTTGATCAATAAAGCTTAGTTCCTTTTCGAATTTCATTTCTCAATTAAGTACATTACAGTAATTTTGTAATATCTTGTACTTAATTAATGTAGGGACGTCATTGACTACAAGGTTCAAAATGTCATATAGATTAATCCACCTTATCCACAATGTCTGTACAACTACATGTAAGGTATTACACTACTCCCTGCTCCTACATATATTGTGCTTGTTTCATTCTTATTATTAATCTTCAAAAGTTTCGTGTTTCTGTCGTGGACAGGATCATGGAAGACGGAAAAATGCTTGTCTCTTTCACCATGAGTAGTGCATCAAAATTTTAACCTCTCATCCTTGTTCCAATGGATGAAGACATAATACTAGATTTTTACCTGAACCTTTCTGTTCTTATCAACACGGTATTTTAGTCATATACAGTTACAGGTTTGATGTTGATTTCCAAGATGCCTCCAGCTCAAAATTCATCGGGAGACCAAGGTAAAACAGAACAACTTTGAAGTTTATTCCTTTTAAATTTCAAGAATCTATTTGATTAATGTGTTTCATGATTGATGTCAGAGAATGCTGCAGACCAAGGTAAAACAGAACAACTTTGAAGTTTATTCCTTTTAAATTTCAAGAATCTGTTTGATTGATGTGTTTCATGATTGATGTCGGAGAATCCTGCAGTTGATGCTCAACAAAAAGGAGAAGTTGCTGGCAATGCAGATGGTGTTTAAAGAAGAAAATAGCATAATTACTGATGGTGAAAGTAAAAATTATCATGAGAAAGTTGCAGCTTTACCTACTTATGACCCTTCAACAGCTAAAGAACCTCACCTTGAGAACTACGAAGATGGCAAAAGAGGTTATTTTCACTGAAGTTTCTTGGTTATGGAATTAGCTTCTCTTCTGCATAGTATTTATTTTATGGTAGTTGTCTTTTACTTAGAGTACGCCATTCAAATCTTCAATGTAGATGAATATAAGAGAAACGCAGCTTAAGCATCCTTTTCAATGTACAAGATTTCAAACATCTGCAAATGATTTAGTGAGTCAAGTCACTAACTTGAAACGCATAATTTTGATCAACCTCTGGACTCAATTTTGGAGGGGAAGGATGATCTTCATGACCAACCATATAACCAGAAAGGTCAGTAACTTCCGCTGTCATCTTAGAACCTAATTATACCCTTAGCTATATTTAATGTGCTTGTGTATTCCATCAAACAAAACTTAAGTTTTTGATTGTACCTTATGTTTGATAGTTGAAAAGATATATGGACACCATTAGATTAGAACCTAACTATATTCTTGTACGTGTTCCTCCTCCTTTTGTCGCTCTCTTTCGTGATTATATGACAAGGAAATATACAAAATATTATATATATATACATATATATATATATATATATATATACATATATATATATATATAAGTAATTCAGAAAAATAAAACCCTTTGAAGTTTCTAAATGGTAAAACTTACAACCGATGCAGGTGAATCCTCAAGTGTTTCCAGTGAGACAGTAGAAGAATGCATCATATCATCATCACTTGAAGAACAAGAAACTACAAGGAATGGAAGATCAGGCCAGAACGAAGATAACTGACATTGGTTAAGGCAGCAAAGAGAGAACTCTTTTGATGCACCAAAGAATAAATATGAGTTACCAACTGAACAAGGTAAATCGTTGAAGACGAAACAAAAACGGGAGTAAACGACTCCATTGAGAATGAAATGAAGGTCACCAACAAATTGCGCTTTGTTATTCTTTGTGTAAATATATATTTGAACTTCTTTTTTAATGAACTTTGTTATACCATATTATGCATGAGGGAAAAAACTTGACATAAATATATAGGTTCTTCTACTGCCACTTTCTTTTCATCTTTCAACATTCTGTGACCTAATTTAATGTCTTGTTTGTGAAAATATTTGCAGGTAAAGCAAGTCTCTACTGCAGCTCACCCTCAAATTCTTGGCCTGTATATATTGTTGATCTATAACATAAGGTAAACATTTTGCTTTTCTGATTGTGTATCTTTTCAAGTTTAGTACACAATTATTATTTCGCCCTTTTTATAGTTAGGAACATTCTGAATTGTAAAATAGGCAATTTTATCTTAGAGATAGGATTTTAAGACAATAAAATACTGAAGAGGTTGGACATAACCACTTGATATCACATAAAATTATACATTTTGAAAGCAATTTTATCAGTAGTGAAACATTTTTAAAGCTTAACATTGATTGTATTGTATTAGAAGAATTGGGCTTACATTGGCGCCTAAAATCTTTACTATGGAATTTGCCGCTCACTTTGATTTCTCTTTTTCAGTTTATGTTGGAAGGATTGTGTTAATTACAAATATTTCTATTATTCAATATAGCCTCTTAATTATTTCAAGATTTTATCCCTCCTCTCTGTGAACAATAAATGTATTTTTTTAGTACATCATTTTCATAGTTAGAGTAGAGAAGTCATCACCACCAAGTAATTGATTAAACTTCTAATAGTTCACTGATCCCTTGTGTCAAAAGTCATACATGTTGCATTACATATTAGAATTGTTATTTTATAATGCCTCAAGTATGTATATCATTTTCGTTAAATTTTTTTTTTGAAGAATTAGATTATGTGTATTGTTTGCGATGTGGATTATGGTATGTCTAATAGAAATATTCTGCATTTGCTTCTTCAGTAATGCTTAAGCTCTCTAACTGCAGGTTCTAATCCTTTTGTTCAATACTATTGCAAAAGAATGTTTATAACAAATCAACTTTCAAGAAGGATACAAAGTATGAAAGAATTTACTATGTTGCAAGTACATATTTCATAATTTTTTAGCAATCTTTTACAAATATTTGGTTCCTCAATGGATGTTTATAAACATAGTGTGAAGCAACAACTGTTCACGAGTTGCTGGCACTGCAACCTCCCCTGCAACCTTATATAGCAACCACGTGTTGTGTACATATCTGTAGCTACTTTACTCATCTTTAGTGCTGATTGAAAATCATCAAAAGCTATTCGAGAAAAAGAATCACAAAGTATCAAGGTGATCTTCTTCCATATTTTCTTTTTGATCCTCTGTTTGACTCTTTTTTTCAAATTATTTTTCTATTTGTTCGTCTCACTTCAAAAAGGTAAAATCCTTCTTACGTTTCTCCATCTGGGTCTCTTTTTATAATTATGTTTGATTTATATTTGATTTTCCCCTGCTGGGAATTGATATGAACGGAGGTAATATTATCATTATGCCTCTATCTTTAATGACAACCGATTGTTACTGCAAATCCTAGGAAGCCCGGCAATGTGACATAACTTCAGGCAACATGGTGGTACATCTTTCGTCAAAGGATGGATCCAAGAAGGCCAACCCTAAGTTGTTGTTCGTCATCCAGTTTCTCCTCCATCTCCATCTATTAGTTCAGTTGTTCCAGCAACAGATAAAAAAGAGACATTTTTTGTTAGACTTGATAATTTAGCTACCCTTAATGTTACAAGGAGTGTTTTGTAATTACTATTAAGTTTTTTGTTATGATAATATCTGAATCCCTTATTACCAAAAAAATAGTATGAAGCAGCGACGCTTCCTTTCTCAGCAGTCTTGCTAAATGTCTCAGCATTAAATTTTCATGGTAATCTTTTAGCTGGACAAATAACTACCACCGATGACGGGCATATGCCCGTGCATAGCACGGGCTGCACCATCTAGTAACATATTAATAAGTGAAGGTTCTTGGACGACCAAGGGTAAATACGTAATTTTAAAAATATGAACCCACGGTTGACTATCCTATATGTGTAGCTCTTGGTGACACCTGTTTTACACATTTCTTCTTCCTTCACACCTATTCCTGTACTTTCTTGAAGTATACCTGTTCTTGAATCTTCCAGAGCCTCTCTCTCCTGTCTTACCTTATCTTTCTTCTTTGTTACAGATTCTTAGCGTCGTTTCAGGGTTTTCTATTCAGAATTTTTTAATTTGGTTCGTGTTTTTATTACAATATGAGAATTTAAGAAGAAACTAAAGCTAAAAAACTAAGATAAGCTAAGAAAAAGGAAATAACAGCTTTCATTGATAGCCTGTCAAGATGGCAAGTTCGATACAAATAGGGGAAGTAAGACCTAGGGGTCAAAGTGAAATAAAAGAAACATAGGAGAAATAAAGTAATTACTTATCGGACTGAAATGTAAAAAACTAATAAATAACCAACCCAACTCCCATGTACACTTTTGGAAACATAAAGTACTACTTTCCATAGCTGATCCATTTCCATATCGTATCAGTACTCCCCCGTAAACAACACCCTTGTCCTCAAGGATGAGGAACTTAATCCATCCCCGATCAAATGGAAACAATATGATAAGTATTTCAAAACATTCACCATCTGTAACCACACTTTCACAAGCCCATATGTTGAAGGAGGGAGAAGAATTAATGGCAAAGCACTGCATTTCATGAATTGTCACTAAAATAAATGATCTGGTTGATTTGGCCAAGAAATGAGACTGTGACTGCAAAGCTTGTAACAAAGGGTAGCCCTGGGCGCCAAAGAAGTGCTCTACAATTCTACACTTACTGTTCGTTGACTCAAAATGCAAGCAAGTTTCTCCTGTAGCTATGTTCTGGTTCAAAACTTCAATTCGACCAATATGCTGCTCAAACCCTTTTTTTCCAATTCCGGATGCTATTATGTGAACTTCTTTTGCGAGTAACATGTAGAATGAAGTAGAAAGAATGTTAGAGCTTTCATGTTCTTCAAATTTGCCAATGAATCTAGTCATGAGGATATTCTCATCAATGCTCGTACGAAGTTTCAGCATCCGGTTAATTTTGTTTCCAAGGCTGTTAGGATCATAAAACAGCAAGAGAACCAAGTTCTTCATAGAGCTTAAATTTTCATAAATCAATTCTTCACTACCCTTGATCCTCAAATCACGACGAACATGCAACTTGGTATTGGTAGCCTTCTTCCTTGTGTCAAATCGGTCACAACGAGCCCTTTCTGTAACAAATCAAATAACTTCAAACTTTAATTGTGCCTCAACAGAGAAATTCTTCACAAAAAATTGTTTCCCATCATTAGTCAAGCTCTTGTAGAAAGCAACATACTCTTCTTTTGTGATCTCTTCAGGCTTCCTCATCCAAATAGACTTCTGCTTGTTCGCCAATGACCACTCATTAGGAACTTCTTTTATACCAGCATCATCTACTTTAATTTCAAGGCCGATGTCACAAAATAACCCATTAAAATGGCGTAGAACTTCTGCTTTGATGAAAGCATTAAGAGACTGGTATATACGACTGGAATCATATCTAGGATACTGGGGTTTAATATTCCGCCTCTCCCTCTTAGGAAGCTCTATGAACTATAAAACTAATGAGACATCCATTTTTACGGCATACAATACCATAAAAGAACCAGCCTTCATCCAGTTAATAACCTGCTTGTATTCCTCAATGAAACCAATAGAGCACTTGTATTCATCAAGTAGATTAAAAAGAGAGAAGTCCTTCAGTAAGGCTTTCTCTATTAAAAGCTCTGTTTCATTCTTCTGGTGCAATTGAATTAAGAACCTGAGCAGCAAGAATTCAGGTACACTTGGAATAATAGACATGACCAAACGATAAAACAGTTGATGATGATGAAATATATGCAGATAATTCATTGCAACTCGACAAGCATCAGCTTCTTTGGCTATTACAAGCCATATTCCCAAGTGAGTAGCTTTGCCAGGACTAAAGTCATGACTGGAACTTGCATTGTAGGACTCCAGGAAGGTGACAATAAATTCAGCAGAATTTTGTATCAATTTGCTGCACGAATCGTTCAATACAACAGCAATATCATTTGGTACAAGAGTAGTCACCTCTCCCAATGGTATACAAGCAGCAACTTCTATGAAATTATTCACAAGTTTAGGAAACTGAATTTCTGGCTCGAGCTCATAGTCATGGCACCTTGACTGATTTCCATTGTTCTCATCTTGCAAATACTCTACGAATGGACGAACAACAGAAACATAAGAGCCTGACCGCGAACGGATGGCCATCACCTCTGGAGTTCCACCACCACCAATATATCCCTGAGCTTGAGATTTCCCTATTGAAAATGTGATAGAATGTACGCTACCAATGCAATTTAACACATTGCTGGCCTTCGGCTTGCCCTCATAGGTAACTAGTAATCCAGGGCAGGAATATTTCCGGGAAAAATATAAGGCAAAGGGAGACCCAGAAGATCTTGTTGAAAAACTAATGCATCCCCTTGGTTCTAAATGAGAACAGAGTAGAATGAAAAACCTTCTCATTGTTCTGGTTGCAACTGAAATAGAACCAATTGAACTTGAGCCACTTACTAAGTGCATCAGTTTTCTTGTGTGATATGGATGACCTATAGCAACAGGGGTACTTGGAGTACTTCCTGGATCCCATATAAGTAGTGATGTACCCCCAGATAAGACAACTAAAGCAGGAAAAACAGCTAGAGATGTGTGTTGCAATGCAGTTACAGTGCACTTAGCAATTATCTCTGGTACAACTTTAGAAAACTCATATCCAAGAGTAAACGTGTTAGGCTTCAACCAGGTAGCCTCAAAGAAGACATGGTAGTCGTTGAGAGCCTTGTAGCAAGTAGCAGAAACAGGCTCTGTGGCATCAGTATGTTTGTTTATGTCATCCGATCCATCAACAAGGATCTCAGGTTTAACCATGGGAAGAACACCTGGAAACTTAACCTCCACCTCTTGTACAATCATTTCACAAAACTTCTTTAAGAGTTTCACAATAATCAGTCCAACAAGCCTCATTTCCATGGATTGAATTAAAGCTCGATCAAGAACTTCAGGACAGAAAAATGAAATTCCGAATTGTCTGACATACTCTCTACATATTTCAATAGTCTTCTCAATTTCAGATCTAAAATTGGCTTTATCCCACTCTTCATTACACACATGAGTTTTTTGAGTTGAACAATTACTCTCTTTCAACTGTTTGGCTTTGTCTAGTGTGCTGCTATGACCTTCCTCAGCAAACTTGGTGCTTCTGTATGTCCTCCAGATATCACCATTGACAACACGAGAATTTTGATAATCTATTGGCTCCAACAACGTCTCAAGAACAACACAATCCATCCCATTCAAAGGTTTGACTCCTCTCGAGCTCTCTTCCTCCGGGGAAAATATCTGGTATACCCACAACCTTTGATATTTGTTCGATGTCTACCATGGTCGTCTTCTCTAGTTGTCCACTCTCTATCAGATTTTCAGAGGTGGAAACAATTTTGTCAAAAGGGCTATCTACCTCCATTCTAGCTTGAACAATGAAACGCATGCCCGTATCATTGCTTCATTTTTCAATCGATCATCAGAGGGGGAAGCCGAATTGTCTAAAGGTGCCACTACTTCATCCATTGGCATTTTATCAAACACCTTCTGCGCACACACAACAGGTGTTGATACTAACGAAGGAAACTCAGTTTGTCTCTTCATTGATCCTAGCTGCAGGTTAGAGTGTAAAAGTGATTCATCCTTTAATAGCTCAGCTTCCTTAGAACTCCTTTCCTCGAGAAAAGGCTCTGTTATCCCAAAAATAGTTAATTTCTGTTCATGTTCTGCCATTCTCGGAACTAGAATCCTCGTCGGAATATCGCCTCTACCAACAATAGTCGAAATCTCTCGGTCACTCGAAAAATCGATGGGAGTAGAAACATCAACAATGGTGTTAACAGGTAGAAATTGTTGTTGAGACGATAGAGAAAGGTGGGAATACTCAGAACTGCTGTTGAGAGAAGCCATGTTATTGTCGGAGAAGAAATCCATAGTCGTGGTTCCTCCTGGTACCATGCCGGCAGTCCAGTAATTAGGAACAACAGTGGAAAACTCGTATGGATGATACGCATAGTAGGGTTGATTGTAATGCTGCTGGTACCCACTAGAATAGTTTCCACATCCCATATTGCTATATCCATAAGGATTAGTATAATCATAGGGATTATTACCTTGATACATTGCATTGCTGAAATCCTGCGAAAGAAATGCAGGTAAAACAGCTCGTAAAGAGTTATTGGCAGTAAACTTAGAGCCATAAAGAGGGTTTTGGAACGCCATTGATGACTACCCACAGAGCGAGGATGATTGCTCTGATACCACTGTTACAATATGAGAATTTAAGAAGAAACTAAAGCTAAAAAACTAAGCTAAGCTAAGAAAAAGGAAATAACAGCTTTCATTGATAGCCTGTCAAGATGGCAAGTTCGATACAAATAGGGGAAGTAAGACCTAGGGGTCAAAGTGAAATAAAAGAAACATAGGAGAAATAAAATATTTACTTATCGGATTGAAATGTAAAAAACTAATAAATAACCAACCCAACTCCCATGTACACTTTTGGAAATATAAAGTAATATTTTCCATAGCTGATCCATTTTCATATGGTATCAGTTTATCTCTGGCGTGCCAGCACTTATTTATAAATAATAACTGGTAAGCATTCTTACTTTGGGATTTTCGTTAGTCTGTAGAATTTTTCAGCCTTTGGCTCTTTTCTTAACAAATTTTGCA